TACAAATTCGACGATATAGAGAAAAAAACCAGGAATTCTCAGTCTTAATTTCGACGATATTAATATTTTAAAAAATGTAGCAGATTAAATAGAAATCGTAGCTTCTTTAAAATCGGAATCGTTGATATGGAATAACATTTTTCCAAGCGAAAACTTTGAAAAGCATTTTCCAGGATGAGCGTCTTCCAGTACTTACCGAGAAAAGGAAGCATCCGAAGAAAAGATGTAAAGAGTCTTTCCATTTCCTCGGTGCATTATGCACAACAGCGGGAAGATGCTGCCGCTGTATCGGAATACGATTATTCTACATGGCGATGGTATTGTTACATCGCGTTTTTCGGCACTTCCGTGGAATTCACGGCACGTACCTTTCTCGCGTGGAAATCGTTGCTACCCGAACGGTAAAAGCGCTACTCTGTTTCGAGGAATATCTAATGAAATATCAAATTCTATCTGTGCCGGATAGACGAGGAAGCTCGCGTAAAGCTAAGTGGAGAATCTTTTGCTGATGAAAAAAACACGCGAACACTAAAACCGGCGAGGTCGTTAACCTGCTGTTGGGAAAAAGGTTGAAATAAACCGCTGGAAAAACCTTTTCGGATGAAACGATCGCCGCTCCGGTTATGTACCTTTCATGAAAGAAAGGATAAAGAGATCTTGGAAGCAATGAACTTTAACCTTTCACGGTTAGATTCAGGTCGATATTAATTATTTGTTACGTTTCACGAGGCTCCGTTTGTACGATAATGAAATTAAACGAAAGGAAAACAGGTGTTGTTCAGGGCTTTGCAACAATGAAGCAAGCAATTTCGCCTCGGGTTACACGGAGAAATGTACGGATCAACAGTGCAGCCTGATGAAGTTAAGTGGCCGGTCGGTGCCAGCCTAATTAAGTTAGTTAGTTTGGAGGTTAGCGCAGAAACCTGCATTAACTTGCTGAATGTTCAGAATGTGGGAAATGTTATTTATGACACTTTGAGACCAACCTCCACCCTCTCTTTAAACACGTTCAAACCGCTGAAAGTGACTGCGCGACCCGTTCCTTAAATCGATACTCGTCGTAGCCTGAAAGGTAACCGTGGAATGCTCTTTTTCCATGTAAGTTTTAACGAATCACTCCTTTTTCACTATTTCGAGGAAGAATAATTAGAAGGACGCTAGAATTCTAGCGAAATTCCATTAGGACCTCCTTGGAAATTATCATAGAATCTTACTGGGATAGTTTTCCAATGAATTTTCACTGGAATTCCATTATTATTCTGCTAGAATTCTATGAGTATTTAAATAAAATCTCATTAGAATGGTACCAGAATTCTATTGCAATCAATTTTCGCTGGAATTCCATTATTATTCTGCTAGAATTCTATGAGTATTTAAATAAAATCTCATTAGAATGGTACCAGAATTCTATTGCAATCAATTTTCGCTGGAATTCCATTATTATTCTGCTAGAATTCCACGAGTATTTAAATGAAATCTTATTAGAATGATACCAAAATTCTATTGCAATTAATTTATGTTGGAATTCCATATGAATTCCACTGTAATCCCACTAATATTTCATCAAAATGAATTTGTACAAAGAATTCCGAATAATTCCCCTGAAATTATACCGGTATTTGAGAAGGATTTCCTACAGCAATCTTCCAAGAGATTTCTCTGCACACGTACCGAAGGTAACTGGACAAAACGTGACGAAGGCAGAGTCCAACCTTCCGGGTCGTTGAAACACACGAGACTTGGAAACTCGAGTCGCTGAATTATCCGTGTTAGCAGAAATCGCCGGAAGTGCTTGCTAACCCGAAGACATCGGCCAACTTGCTGCATACTCGAGTAAACTAGTCCGCCTAACCCGGAATAATTAATGGAATATCGTTTCTAGCAAAGCACACACGCGTGTATCAACTCCGTCGCGAAGTGGTTTTGGAACTTTTATGACTTTTCAGAATTCTACGGATCCAGCTTCAAGTAGACTCGCGTCAGGTTACTTCTGACTTTACGTAGTCCATTCTTCGGTACCTCGAGGATTATGTACTCTCAAATAACAGAATTTGAATTCTGCAATTGGTTACACTAGAATTCCACTTCTTTCTTCATTTCGTTGCATCGGATGCACGGAAATTTTGTTTTAGTAATCGAGGAATTCCAGCATTATCCGTAGCTCAGGCTCGTTCTTTCTCCCTTACGTAATTTCTCGCGGAAGATTGATCTCAGGCTGACCCTACAAATCACGAGAAAGTGCTGTTGTTAGCAAGAAACCGTACTAGGCACCTTAGACGCGAACTTTCGACTACGGTGTAGACATTGTAACCTATGATTCCCGAGAGAATTATTTTCGTTCCGTTTCTAATGCCAATTCTCTTCACAGATTAATTAACAGTTAGCTGATTAAATGAAAGAATTTGATTCGAAAAAATTGCACGTAATTTGACAGGAATATTAGAATAATACGTGATACCTGAGAAAATTAACGCGCTTCGGCTTTCACTGTTTCGAACGATCGTTTAACCAGCCGGATAAGCGACAAGGTAAATAGATGTCCTATCAGATCACGTGTCACGAAAGCGTGACACGCGAACACGTACGGAATTAACACGTTAGAAGGTGAACAAACCAGGAGACCGGTGAGTGGCATTGATCGAAAAGTTGGATGGGAACGATAAGGAATTGCGTGTACGTACACTCGCGATCAAATCAAACTTCTTCAGAAAAAGTACCGATGTCCTAGGTTCCCATTTTTCCTGGTAAACAATCCCCGGGGGAAACGACAATGTAGGAAAAGAAATAAATTTCTTTTATATCCAAGGTGTTGAAATTCTAAAACAGCTTGAACACTTTGAATGAATAGAAAAACTCTCTTTCCTTACATTTTCAAAATAATTTCAAGTGTTTTTCACCTGTTAGACAGCTCGAGTTTCACTGCAACCGTGAAACAAATTTGGGAAGTTGCACGGTATTAAATGTTGCTGCTTCAAGTTTCCAGAAAGCCACATTTGTACCATTCGTTTTTTCTTTCTGGCGCTGAATAGAATTCTTCTCATTTGCAAGGATATTTTTGTTTTATTTAAAATCCTCTCTCTCTTATTCTTTTTTTCGTCTGTCGTTATATTTTTACGGTACAGTAACTTGCTGAAGCGTTGGTACATTTATGAAACCGCGCTATTTAAAAATGGGATAATTACGAAGGTAGAAAGTAACGAGAACGTTTCATATCTATCGCGATATTTTCGCGGTAACAATTGCTTTCTTGTTTTCGTTCCGCTTATCGAGTCGCGGTGAATAAATGCAGGTATCAGGTGGTTGCAGCTAATGCATCACTTGATGTAATAATCCATCAAGCTTGTAGAAAAATAAGGAAAATATATCCGCGAGACGGTTTTATTGTCACGCGAATTTCAAGCGCGTTGACGTGTTTCGTGTCGAGCCTGTTACCGGCTACTTTTATGAATGAACATATGCGTCTTCGTGTTCCTTGTTATCTTTACGCTGTACAAATATTTATCTGTCTTTCGAACAACGCTCTTATCAAGCTTTTGTTAACGATGCGCTTTCGAGCACAGCTGAATGAACTTTTATGCGATTAGAGCACTGATGGGCAATCGTGCCCGCTGGGGCACTGATAAGTAGCCGATTTGGGAATTTGGAAATTTTACATTTTTATACTTCTAAATTGCCAAATTTCCGAATTTTTAAGTTCGCAAGTTTCCAAAATTCCAAATTCTTCAGTTTTCAAATTCTCAACTTCCCAAATCATCAAAATTTTTAATTTAGAAATTTCGGAATTCGAAAATGAAACTTTAGAATTCGAAAATTTGGAAATCGCCCGGGAACTGGTGACGGGCCGTTCATTAATCCCGCGCTGAAATTCTAATCATCAGCAGGAGGGAAAGAAATGGACGATTTATCGAGAAACGTATTCATTAAGCGAGAAAACAGGCACAAGTGTCGCTCGACCTCGTTACCACAGCTGCAATTATGTTAGACCCTCTTGCATTCTTGAAAATGTAGGAAATTGAAGGAACGAAGTGGTGAGATGGAGTAAGAGTAGGGGAGAGGGACCTCCATTAAATTCATCTTCGTTCCCGTAAAAAGGTCTTGTCTCCCTCGATACAATTCTCGTCGAAGCGTGCAGCCATTCGCAGTCACGGTTCGCTGAATTTCAAGTTTCGCTTCTAAAAGAAGAGGGAAGTGACCCATTTTTTATACCGAATCGAAGTTTCAATTAATAACACCCTCGCGCCAACACACACACTCGTCGATAGAATTATTACAAAAGGAAATGGAAACGTCTTTTTACCTTTGTACTTTCCTTTCAACCAACCAGTCGCTTTTCCTATTCGATCGATGAAAATTCATACTTTTATCTGAGCAACTAGAAAAATCCTGTATATGCAAGGATGCAACACGTCGTTAAGACATGGGTTGTTCGTCCTTTGAAATAAGAATAATAGGAAAGGGTGGAAGTGAGATAGGAATAAAAGGAAGGCAGATGATGGACCTCTGCTCTCGGCTGGCTCTTTCGAGTTAAGTGGTTAGCTCGGCAAGCGGTTTCGATTAGCCAGCTCGTTGAACCCGTGGCTCGACGACCAGCGACGCCGACGATCGGCGTCGGGCTAAACGCCCCGTGAGCATCCCAACAAGATCCTTCTTCCCTCCATCCTACATTGCGTTTCTCTGTCGATGATCTATGACGACGTGGATTCGTTCGATGTTGAAATTGGAGGCAATTGTTTCACCGGCAGGGATACATCGCCAAGTCTTCGTCCACTTCAGCAGCAATAACTTTTGTTTATTTTCTCGGTCGCCTTGATATTTCGAGAGTTATCGATAAAAAGCTTGTCTCCGCCATCGAGGTGTTCAATTTGGTAAAATGTTCGTATCTTCGGAATAACTTGAAACTAGAAGCTGACCGAGAGCTCTAAAACTTTTGCTGAGAAACACCTCGACTTATCGAGAATATTTCAATTTCATTTAAACTAACATAGACACGTTTGTTTCAGATCCTGAACGGGTACACAATCGTCAGGTGGAAATTGCGATAGGCGGGGGCAGGTGCTGTTCAGGGTGAGTAACTGGAACGCAGCGTGCATTTTAAAGAATTTTCAGACCGGACGTGCTCGTATCCGCGCACGGAAAAGATGTCTAACAAACTGAAACGGAATTTCGCTTATGACACGATTTTTCAGCGAACCCGAACGTGTTTGCCAACGACTTACACCCTCCGTCTCCCGCATTCGTCTTCGGTAAACACGACCCCTCTTGAATCTGGTGCAGTTGCAGCGCCCTTGCTGCTTGCATAATGCGTCGCAAAAGGAGCTTGCACCGATCTGTTCGTCTCACTCGTGCATCCGTAAACAACCGTTGTCTCCCTCCGAAGGGATGGAAAATATTGTCGAGTATCTCTGTTCAGGAACGAGTTAAATCTCATGTATTGAATTTAGGGATTTCAACGGTTCTGTTTAGCGAGAGATAATCAACCCTTTGGTTGCTTTTTAGTTAATACCGGTACTCGAGTCACCGACTGATTTAAGGTTTAAATTCTAGAATAATTTTCTTAGCCTGTCCAGGGACGATAAGATTTAGATTAATTGGAGTTACTGTTACTTCAAAAGCGTTGATGCAAAATCATCGTACAAAGCAGGTAAAGTTAGCCTCGAATGCTAACCGAACGTATAGAGACAGAAATGAAACGAGAAAATGAATAGCCTTCGATCGAATCAGTGCCCAGATTGAAAGTGCAACGGGAATCGGTTCCTGAATCATTGAAATCAGCGAGCAGAGAGAATACGATCGATGTGTTGGTCCGTTCGAGTGGTTCTATACGAACGTTTCTCTGTCGTGTCGTCTTTATTCAGGCAAAGCTTGGTCGACAGTAGACAACCTGGCTGTATCTGAGTCTCCGCATCTAATAATAAACGGGTCGAGCATTGTTGGAAAATGGGTCGAACACGGCCGGCATCTCTGCCGATGTATCGAACGGTCGCTGCATACACACTTCCCTCTCGCGATGCAACTAGCTGCATAATACCCAACGTCACCCATCCCCCTCCTACACGAGCTGTCCGAACGGTGACACGCGGCAACGTGAATATGAATGCACTCAGGAATCGACACAGTTTCGAACTTTCCAGTCTCTCTCGTCACAAGACTTATGTACCAGGCAAGAGAATGTTTCTGTTTCACAGCTGGTCTCGTGCTTGCTCTCTTTGTGCCAGAATAATTGAAAATTCTGGAAGGAGAATAAGAGCTCTTTCGATGGGATCGTTGCTGGATAATTAGTCGACATTTCAATTAACACTAGATTGCCGTTGCGAATCAATTTCACTCATTTACGATTCTATTGCTAAATAATAGAATTATGAAATGTATACAAATAGTAATTCCTTCCTATTTTGATGGATCTGTTTGTCTGGCAATCTAGTGTTAAATATCGAGGGAATTCTGGAATAAGTGTAGACCTGTTTCAGTAGAAATAGTCGTGTATAGTCAGACACTTACTACTTCATTCTTTTCTTTTATTATTAAAAAATTGTTATAATTTTGTTTACTTATACAGATATACAATTTCGATTATATTCTTATTCATAGCATAAGCATCGTATAACATAACATAATAGGTATTGATTATCATACTAACACGAATAGCACGATTTCATGAAACTGCAATTTTATTCGTATCTCGTTGCCGGTTCGTTCCTGTAATCGCGTATTCTTCCGTGGTCGTTTATCAAGCGTGAAATAAAATGACGAAGAGTAGAGGTAGGTGATCAGGGTACGTCGAAGAAGCTGCTGGTCGAATGGTAGTCCAGGCTCGTCGAAAGCCACAAATCCAAGTGTCGCCCACGCGACACGATAAATTCCTTTGCCGTGAAGGGGGCGCGGACACTAAAGATCCGATAATATAGGTGCGAACGACCGCAAATCCAACTCTGAGCGAAACTGACGCGATAAATTCACGGTTTATCTGTCTCTGCGTAACAGAGGATAGGTAGCCTCGTTTCCGGTGAAACACCGCCGTGGGAAAGGCTTTCCTTCTTTCGACCAGTTTAATAACTTCGTTTCGCCGTTGGATTCTCGATTAAACGAGAAAACGGGAGGGGGAATATGATCGTGGGAGAGAAGAATCCTCGATTATTATTTTCGATTCGATTCCCTCAATTTTAATTTTTTGGGGAGGAAACAAATCCGAGTTGCTACTCGGATAATTGTTTTTCTCTAGCAAAGCTCGGAGAGAACAATGCGAACAGCACATCTGTTACAAACTCTCCGCGGTCGTTTCCTTGACTTAAATTTCGGCCAAGGAACCGAGGCAAGAATTTGAAACTCTGCCCAGTCTTGCGGACTCCGGCCTCGTTCTTCACGGCGTAAGTTACGCGAAACATAGTTGGTCAGATATCACCCTGTCTCCGTCCCTTCTATTTGCCCACCACGGTCCACGATGAATCTCGACCGGCAAGAAAATTGCTTTTTAGTAAGTTTCCAACTGAAAGACGGTGTAATCCTTTTCCAGAGACGCAATCTGTGTCACTTCGTTATTTTGCTATTGAATGGTACACTTTTGTGAAACGTACCATTACTTTCATCGTTGCTTCGCCCCCCGCGGTGTTACGGCTTGTTTTGTCCATCATTAATCATTCATAATTAAGCAGAGATACCGAGGCATTCTTCCTCGTAGTTTTTCAAACAATTGATAAACCAAATGGCAGAGAAACAGTAGATAGAAAGTTTCCAAAGTTACAGGGAAGAGGGAGATGTATTTTCTCGTTTTATCGAGGTCTGTGCTCGGTTAGCCGCATTCGGTACGACCAAAGCAATTTCATCTCAGGTAACACAAACTGATATAGAGGAAGCTTTGTTTCCCCGGTGAGCCGTGATACCGTCTGTCCTTTTCCTCTTACATTATTCCCGAACACCGAAACTGCCACTGGGTCTGTTTGCAACTCCCTTATACCTTTACCTAGCCGACCGCTAATGAAACAGATTAACTTATATTCGGCCGATTAACGATACACCTATTACCGTGTCTCATTTGTAAAAATTATACAAAATATTGAAAAAGAATATTTCTTCCTTAAGAATACAACTTACACCTGGAAGAACGAGACAATACAGGTCCTTGGTACTCAAGGGTCTTCGTTCAGCTTCCGGTTCTTTCAAGTCCGCTATATAAATACAAGGGGGGCCCTTTGAGTCTGTTTCTCCTGTAAAAGGGTTCCATTCGCCGTGTTCCTCGTAACTCTCGTTTCGCTCAGGTTGCCGCTGGTTCAGGTCGTCCGTGGGCCAATATGTATCACGAGGTGGGGTTCTATACGGGACAGCGTTGTAATTCACCGGGACTCGTGTTTCATCGTACACCCTGCTAGCAGGGTGTTCACCTACAAAGTGGCCGGGGATACTTAGGCGGATAGATGGAGGACGCACTTCCCTATTTCGCCGTGAGGCTGAAGCTGCATAAAATAGGATGGTAATTCCGTGCCGGGACGGAATTAAATCAGAAGTGGCCATCGTTGGATACTCTGAACGCGATAGACGTACGATATTTTAAATAGAAACGTTATTTCGTAAAATTCAAAGAAATAATAATTTTAATACAATTTTTATCAATTTTTAGCATTTCTTTTGATTCGTCGTTGCTGAAAGTGATTTTTAAATACAGGGTAGATAACACGGTGTATTCTCGTTGTTCTCAACGTGTCACGACCTCTGTATCGATCGGTTCTTGACATAAATATGAAATTCCTATTCTTTCCGCGTATTAAGCACACGTACCCCGTTGAGGATGCTCGATAAAAAGTAGAAAACTATTCACGAAACAACAGAATGCACGGTTACAGAAGGGCATGGAACAACGTTAGCCGATACGAACTGTGTTTCACTGAAGTTACCAGACTAATGAATGTATCGTCTCCGTCTCTCTTCCTCGTATCTCTGCTATCTTGCCGCTCATCATCGCCGTTCCCTTAATTAAGCTCTATAGACGCGAAAAGGATACACGCGTATGAAACTCACCCGTCTATTTCCCTTTGATCTCTCCGTGTAATTGAATTTTTTTATTTTCATTTTTTTTTTTTCTCTCCACCGGGACCATTTTTTATCTCTTGCTCTTTTAAATATCACCGAGTGCATAGCACGAGAGACACGCGTCTATGATGTACACGCTTAGACTTCTAAGGCGACCTCTTTGCTTTTGATTCAATTCCATTCTGTTTTAGCAAAGGAATTACTCTGCAGAAGGATTTTTCGAGAGTCTTTCAATTTTCTCGTGGATTCGAAATTGAATACGCAGCAACTTAATGTAACTTTAGCGTAATTTTCTTTCAGTCAAAGTACATCCCCGAAATAATATTCAAAACGTGTGTCAGAAACAATATTCGTAACAGTGAATAGACCCCTACGCGAGGAAGCAAGTAGACAATCGTCTTACGTGTACTAGCGAACTTCCGTCGGGTCTTCGATCTTCCGTTAATGCTCTCTGGCAATAATTAGCAGCCATTTTGTCTGGCGTGGCTACGATGAATCGTCGAGTAATTCGGAAGGCACACCGGGGAACGTTTGCAATTCATGACGAGGCTGGTGTGCTCGGTTTATAAAGTGGCTCGTACAGATAGGCTACTTATTCTCTCCGACTGTAGAATAGGATACTAATTCGAACGGCTACAGGCTGGAGCAAACGTGGCGAGGGTGACGTGAAAAGGTCGCGAACGACGACTTCCGTCGTGATTATACGGTACAATTTCAAAATGAAAAACGACCTTGCCGGTATTCTTTCGTTGGTTAGTTACGCACCCCTTTTCTTCGACAGCTTTCGATGAGACCTTTTTTCAAGGGTGCCCGGGTAATTTGTTTCCTCGTTTCTGTCAGCCAGTCATCGATGAACGCTTTGTACCTCGAAATCGTGTTTTTAAGATATAAAAGTCGAAATAAAATGGATAGTCATCGCGACTGTACAATGAAAAATTGAAGGAGATTCTATTCAGCAAAAATATCAATGCGAGCGTGCTATTCGAGCCTCCTGTCGTGAACGACTATACTCGACGTTGCTAGCAAAAAAGTGCTCTGAATAT